ATGGGTAGAGTGTGCTGATGTGTACTTTTGGTGTGTAGAAGGGTATGGGTAGAGTGTGCTGATGTGTACTTTCTGTGTGTAGAAGGGTATGGGTAGAGTGTGCTGATGTGTACTTTCTGTGTGTAGAAGGGTATGGGTAGAGTGCGCTGACGTGTACTTTTGGTGTGTAGAAGGAAAAGGGTAGAGTGCGCTGACGTGTACTTTTGGTGTGTAGAAGGGTATGGGTAGAGTGGGCTGACGTGTACTTTCTGTGTGTAGAAGGGTATGGGTAGAGTGTGCTGATGTGTACTTTCTGTGTGTAGAAGGGTATGGGTAGAGTGTGCTGATGTGTACTTTCGGTGTGTAAAAGGGTATGGGTAGAGTGTGCTGACGTGTACTTTTGGTGTGTAGAAGGGTACGGGTAGAGTGTGCTGATGTGTACTTTCGGTGTGTAGAAGGGTATGGGTAGAGTGTGCTGATGTGTACTTTCGGTGTGTAGAAGGGTATGGGTAGACTGGGCTGACGTGTACTTTCGGTGTGTAGAAGGGTATGGGTAGAGTGTGTTGACGTGTACTTTTGGAGTGTAGAAGGGGATGGGTAGAGTGTGCTGACGTGTACTTTCGGAGAGTAGAAGGGTACAGCTAGAGTACACTCGGGTATGAACTCAAGTCTCCAGTCTATATGTGAGGCATCGTGGTGAAATCAGGTGCTCATCAAAATAATGAAATCCGAGAAATTGGTATTTTTCTGTCTATTAGGCAATTTTTATGGAATCTTTGTTTTTGACTCAACACCTTTACGGTCCATTTAAAAACACATTTCTGTGTGGATTTTACTATAAAATGTTGATTGAAGGTACAAAAATGTACATTTGCAATTTCTAAGGATTCTCAAGCTTTGGAAGTAGGCAAATTTTGGAGGAATTTTCTCGGAAATTTAACCTCTTAAACAAGGTGACCCCCACCTCCTTCAATAACAAATATCTCGACTTCTATTCGATGATAGATGAGCAATTTTTTCACCAAATACAAGACAAGCGAACAAGCTGTACAGTGATACCAACAACTCCACATGTCCAAAAATTGACGAGCGCCTGATTCCACCGCGTCGTCCCATATAAAAGGTAAAAAAAAATAATGAAGCACCAATATTCTACAAAGGATATTTCCGCCACAAACGGAGCATGTTTCCACTGGGATTTCTCGAACTTGGGAGAACTTCTGGTCTAGCTTGACAAGTCCGGCGGGGACCGAGGACTCCAGACCGCAGCCGGACGCCCAAAGTCTCATGGCGTTCAGAACGGTCAGATCTGTGAGAGTCATCATGAGAAAGAGAAGAAGAGAAAAAGTCAAACATGAGTTGTGGAGGATGGAGGGTTTTTGGGGTTTTTTGTTGTTTGTTTGTTTAGGTTGGGTTGTTGTTTTTTGGGGGGGGGGGGGGGGGGAGGGGAGATTCAGTAACTATAAGCATATCAACATAATAACAATCACTTAGAAATTGTAGTCTTTTAAAATGTAGGTATTTTACGCCCTCATTGACACAATTTAGATCATTTAAGAGACGGCCTTTGACCCTGCCCAGCGGATAGGGATACAATATTCAAGCAAAAAGACCGAGCAAACCTAGTGGTAAAAGCATTAGTGAACAAACCTTGTGGTGATGGTGATAGTGAACAAACCTTGTGGTGAAGGTGATAGTGAACAAACCTTGTGGTGAAACTGTTAGTGATGAAGGTGATAGTGAATAAATCTAGTGGTAAATGTGTTAGTGAGCAAACCTTGTGGTGAAAGTATTAGTGAACAAAACTTGTGGTGAATGTGTCAGTGTGCAAACTTTGTGGTGAAGGTGATAGTGAACAAACCTTGTGGTGAAAGTATTAGTGAACAAACCTTGAGGTGAAAGTATTAGTGAACAAACCTTGAGGTGAAGGTGATAGTGAACAAACCTTGAGGTAAAGGTGATAGTGAACAAACCTTGTGGTGAAAGTATTAGTGAACAAACCTTGAGGTGAAAGTATTAGTGAACAAACCTTGTGGTGAATGTGTTAGTGAACAAACCTTGTGGTGAAAGTATTAGTGAACAAACCTCGTGGTGAAAGTATTAGTGAACAAACGTTGTGATGAAGATATTAGTGAACAAACCTTGAGGTGAAGGTGATAGTGAACAAACCTTGTGGTGAATGTGTTAGTGAACAAACCTTGTGGTGAAAGTATTAGTGAACAAACGTTGTGATGAAGATATTAGTGAACAAACCTTGAGGTGAAGGTGATAGTGGCAACTTGCTGTAGCAGTCTGTGACGTATCTGAGGAGAAGCTGTGTGAAGATTGTTGCCGACGCTTCCTTCACCCACTCCAGCTCCTGCTGGGGGTCAGACAGAATCTCTCATCAGCAGTCTGGTTTGGTTTTAGTTTAGTTTGGTTTTAGTAAGAGTTTTACTTTGACGACACTGTTTTTAGTTTTAGTAGAAGTTTTACGGCACTCGCAACTGCATAAGGCCATAAGAGCGCCAGAAGATTAGAGGTGTTACAAGAGAGTAACATACACAAAAAAGAAGGAAGGGAGATAAGGCAAGGACGACAGATGTTTGATATAGGAAAGAAGGAGCAAACCACACCAGAGCACCCGCCAACCACCCACATTTAGTTTTAGTAAGTTTTAAGGCACTTACCGCACACATAGGTCGTTTATGTGTCAAAGATTAGAGGATTTACAAAAGAGGAAAATACAAAGATATATTCTAAATATTTTTACAAAGTTTAAGACAAACTGTTGAACCTGTTCCTCCCCCCCCCCCCCCCCCCCCCCCAACCAAATCGAATACAATTTAGATCGATTAGGAGGCGTTTAAAGCGGGGTTAAATAAAATTGAGGGCGTTTAAAACGGTTAGGAGGGGAGAACTGCCGGTATGGGGGGTTTCACTTTAAATAGGGGGGGGGCTGCACACCGTGCGTTAGGGTATCCACTACTGTTTAAAGAAAGAAAGAAAAAAGAATGACCAAAAAACAAAAATGCCATCCCCCCCAAAGGTTTCGGGGCCAAAGAAACAGCACAAATCCGC